AGGGCCAGAAAGAAGACTTTCTCATGAGGAGAGTCAGAAACCAGACCTTTCAGACTGGGAATGGTGTAGGAGTAAATCAGAAAGAACCCCTCGTCAGGTACAGTAAAGGTTGTTCTTTCTGTGAAATAAAAAGTGAGGCCAAATATGATAGGCATGGGGAAAAAAAAAAAAAGATCAGTTGCTTATTTCATTCAATTTCACTTGCTTTGATTAATTTCCATAATATTAAATTTTATTTCAAGGTGTTCTTTTGAGGGATTTAAAATTTTAAGTTTTACATTTTATTCAAAATCTGTATGTTTTGGCATTGACAGAGCTAAACAGGCTCTTTGAGAAGGGTAGAGCTTTATAGTTTAACCTCAAGTAATCTGTCTAAATTCAGACTAGACTCTCAGAACTTGTTTCAAATTAGTTAACCTGGAAGTTTTCCTTTTCCCTCTCCCCCACAAAAAGTGCTCAAGGTCAGTTTTCTTCTTGACATAAAGGCAAATATTTATACAGCTAGTGGTGAGGAGGGCAGTCCTGCTGCAACTAAACTAGACAGTTTGCCTATTCTTCTTGCTAGAACTAGTCCCCCTAATACCCAGTAGGGAAAAAAGATCTATTCCAGAATATACTGAAGGGAGCCTTTGCAAACTCTGCTAAATGTTCCATCCCTTTAAGGATAGAAGAATGGCTTTATAATGTTTTATAAACCAAAAGAATTTGCACCTTAATTTTATTCCATTTTATCCTAGGTTCTAGCCTGCCTAGAATGATAAGGGATACTTCTTACTTTATTGAAACTATAGTCTAATGTTGGTATGAGATTGTTCTTTATTCCAAACTTTCATATCTGCTAATTAAAGCTGCCCGTGCTTTCCACACTACTGATTAACTGGAAAGAAGAGGCTTTTCTACAAGATTTAATGGAAATCAAACTCCACTTGTCAAAACAAAAACATAATTCCAGAAATATGTGTAAGGAATAATGCATTCATTAGTCAAAATATGACCATATAACACTAAATATGAATATGGATAGAATAATCTGAGATTTCCTTTATTCTCAGTGATAATTAAAACTACTAGTCTTATTCTAATATCACTGTAGAAAAAGTTATATAATAAAACAAAATATACAAAATATATTATTAAAATAATTATTCCTATTATTTAGTAATTAAGTATTTCAAAAAAAATCACTAAATATTTGCCACAAATTAAAAATAACAGTGAAAAGTATACTATTGACAGGCCACAGGGACACAATGCTCAGTATTTTTAGAAGAAAATGGTACCCCAGCTAAGAGGAAAACCCTACAGTTTCATCATCAATTTGTTCCCGAATAATCTAAACCTCTTGGTTTTCTTGTACTTAAAAATTGTTAAGTAATATCATGATGAAGTGTCTGTATGTGTGTGTGTGTGCCTGTGTGTATGTGTGTTTGCATCCCAGTAACTTGCAAATACCTTCGTGTGTTACTCCTTTATTCCATCCCCATGCTTACCTCTTAGGAGTTACAGCTATCCTGAATCATCATTGTTTGTTTTATTATTTTATCACAAATGAGTGCATTTCTAACATAATATATTATTTAGTTTTGCTTATTTTGAGCTTTCTAAAGATGGTGTCATACTGTACCTAATTTTCTGGGACTTGTCTTTTTCCCACTCAACACTACTTTAAATGACTCCATTTTCTTATGTATTTTGCCAAAAACATTGGGAATTATCATCTAAAGTATCACAACCTATAACCCTCATTAAAAAGTCTTGATTATAGTCTGGAGAGTATAATCAATTACCCTAGAATCTTATGAAAGGATCAGACACTGTTTACACATAATATACTGTCCTATGAGAAAAATGAAACACAGCTTATCCACAAGCCTCTATAAATCATAAATAAAATGATATATAGAAAGCACAAAACTTGGATCAGTCCAGATCAAATACCAATCAATACCTTTCAACTATAAGGATTTGCTTAAGTATTAATATTTTAACATCTCTGAGGAGCAAGTAGTTAAAAAAAAACTGATCTAAAATGATGGTTGTGAAAAAAAAATATTAGTGATAAAATAAGGGAACACTCAGGAAAGATAAAATTTATATTTTCAGAGACTAATTGAAATTAAATGAAATACTATCATAAATTTTCAAACAACAGTAAGAAATCCTTGGATTATAGGCTGATGTTATTGATAGGCCTTGCCTTTTAGCAAATTTGCCTCTGAACTTTAAGGTTAACATGTAACCAAAATATATTTAGGGACAAAATGCTTATGAAAACACTTCCATGACCAAAGACAGGTTTTTACTCTTAACCTATTCTTCACCACAGATATTTCATGGGAGTAGATGATGACTTAGAAACCACTTTCATTTTATCCTTTTCTTCCAAATACCTTCTTTGCTCTGAAAGCAATGTTAACTTATGTATCTTAAAGTGATACATTAAACTGCAGTAGACACTACAATATGTCTATAAAAACACTATCTCTTCTGATTTTCTGTGGTTGTACTTTGACATTTTTAGTCCGAATCTATTAGTTCATGTTTAATGGTTCTACATTGAATGGTGTGTCTTCTTTATTCTTAAGCTTAAAAAAAAACCCGCAGGTTTGATTTAAAATATATTTAGTGAGCCCTACTTTATTTTGACAATACATGGTGCTTAATTTTTTATTAGAGTTTAAGTTAGTAAACAAATTCCCAGTGTATTTTGTTTGAAATCTTGGCAGGAGTGAAAGCATCAGATCAACGTTAAGGTGTAAAGAAGATGGTAGTAGAATGCCTTCGGGAGTTTAAATGTGATCCAATAAAATTTATCAGAGTTGAAAGTGCTAGTAAGACTGAAATTCAGTGTTAACCACATTACCACTCCTTTTTGGATCCCTAATAGGTAGAATCCTAAGAAGTCCACTGTTAAAATATTCAGATAAAAATTAGAAATGTCAGAGCTCTGGGGCACCTGGGTGGCTCAGTCAGTTAAGCATCTGACTTCAACTCAGGTCATGATCTCATGGTTTGTGAGTTCAGGCCCCACGTCAGGCTCTGTGCTGACAGCTCAGAGCCTGGAGCCTGTTTCGGATTCTGTGTCTCCCTCTCTCTCTGCCCTTCCCCTGCTCATGCTCTGTCTCTCTCTCTCTCTCAAAAATAAATAAACATTAAAAAAATTAAAAAAAAAAAAGAAATGTTGGAGCTCTTCAGTTACAAAGTTTTAATATGGTGTGACTGTTCTTCAAATGAAATAATGATTTTCAGAACCTAAGAGTTTTGCCATCTATGAATAAATAAAATTGGACTTATAAAATAATTCGGTGGCTTGTGGGTGTTAACTCTAATTTTCTCTTTTAATACAAAGTTCATCAATAAATTCCATTTTCTTTTAATGTGTTGTCTTAAAGCTCTAGAAACTCATATGTTTATTATAATCAATCAGAAACAAAGATATGTTGTAACTATATCACTTAATCCCTCTTGTAATCCTAGCATCATAGCATCTTAAAGGTGAAAGGTCCTCCATTAAGCCAGTAGAATATAGAAAAACAGATTCTGAAACAATTCTTCTCAAATGAGAGACCAAGCAGGGAGAAGTGATTACATTTGAATGAGCTACACAAATCATTTAGCAGAAGGATGTATACACAAACAAGAACTAACTTTAAAGTCATCTGAGCATTAAAAAAGTTTTATTCTCATTTTAAGTGAAATGTTTTAACTATCTAAAAATAGTTTTAAAATCCAAGTTGTGTCTGCTGACAGAGTGAAGTGGTAGCAATGGTTTCTATAACTTTTTAATATTATTGTTTCTTTAAATAATTTTCATAAAAAACTGTGGAAACCAGAAATCAAACTAGATTATTTGGGGTTCTTTAAATTAGAGCTTCTCATTCTTTTAATGTAAATTCAAGTTAGTTAACATACAGTGTAGTCTTGGATTCAGCAGTAGAACTCAATCATTCATCTCTTACATGTGACACCCAGTGCTCATCCTGAAAAGTGCCCTCCTTAATGCCTGTCACCCACTGAACCCATCCTCCTACCACCTGCCCTCCAGCAACCTTCAGTTTGTTCTCCGTATTTAAGAGTTTCTTACTGTTTCTCTCTCTCTCTGTTTTTATCTTACTTCTCTTTCCCTTCCCCTATGTTCATCTGTTGTGTTAAACTCCACATATGAGTTTCTCATATTTTAATGTGCAAATAAGTCAAATGGATGTCTTGTTAAAATGTAGATTGTGGGGGTGCCTGGGTGGCTCATTTGGTTGAGTGTCTGACTTCTGCTCAGGTCATGATCTCACAGTTCATGGGTTTGAGCCCTGTTTTGGGCTCTGTGCTGACAGCTCAGAGCCTGGAGCCTGCTTCAGATTCTGTGTCTCCCTCTCTCTCTGCCCCTCCCCTGCTTGCTCTCTCTCTCTCTGTCTCTGTCTTTCTCTCTCTCTCTCTTAAAAATAAATAAACATAAACAATTTTTTTAATGTAGATTGTGACTAGTAAATCTGAGGTGGGCTCCAAGATTCTGCATTTCTGACAAACCCCTAGCTGACTGGAGTGCAAAATAAAAGCCCATCCCAGACCTATACAATCAGAATCTCCCAGCTCATTCAAATGCACATTAAAATTTAAGAGGTACCACATTAGCATCTAATCACTGGGAGATAAATACTAGTTTAAAAAACAGGGCAAAATTAATCCTTTCCGCTTAATATATGCCTCATAAAGTAAAATAAGACTAGAAGAAAATACTCCAATACAGTAGTGTCCCATTATCTGTGGGGGATATGTTCCAAGACTCCCCGTGGATGCCTGAAATGTAAATAGCACTGAACCCTACATATACTATGTTTTTTTTCCTATATAAAAATACCTGTGATGCAGCTTAATTTATAAGTTAGGCACAGTAAGAGATTAATAATAATAACAAAAAATAGAACAATTACATTAACATGCTGTAATAAAAGTTATGGGAATGTGGTCACTCTCAATTTCAAAATATCTTATTGTACTGTACTCACCCTTCTTCATGTGATGCTATGAGATGATAAAATGCTACATGATGAAATGAAGTGAAGTGAGTGACAGGCGTTGTGATGTAGCATTAGGCTACCATGGACCTTCCGATGATATATCAGCAAGATCATCTGCTTCTAGACCACAGTGGACTATGGGTAACTGAAACCACAGAAAGTGAGGCCTGGATAAGTGAGGGGGCTACCTGTATGCATATCTCTTACCTCTCCCCAAAAAGAGTGTATCTTCTCTTTTCATTTAAAAAAATAAATTATTAAAAAATTAAATCAGGCATAAAATAGTGTTTCCCATGACATTGTTAACTTAATATTGGCAAATGCTTAAACCTATTCTCTGAATAATTTGTGACATTTTTCACTGACGTGACTGTAGGAGAAAAAATCATTTGTCACGTATTTGTAGCCTCAAGACAGTCATCTTACAGCAAATAACTGTCTGGAGTATAGATATTTTATATTTAGCTACATCCATTTGTTACAGTGTTTAGTTCATCACTCACTGTTCAGATACCTAAAAAAAAACTGTTACACTGCTTTTTAAATATTTTTTTTTAATGTTTATTTATTTTGAGAGAGAAAGTGTGAGCGGGATAGGGGCAGAGAGACAGGGAGATAAGAGAATCCAAAGCAGGCTCCGCGTGGTCAGTGCAAAGTCCAACATGGGGCTCACACCCACAAATGGGGGGATCATGACCTGAGCTGATGTGGGACACTCAACTGACTGAGCCACCCAGGCACCTCTACTGCTTTATTTTTTCAAAAGTGTTTGTAACTTTTATTGTTTTATCATTGTAAAGTAATATAATTATTGTAGAAAATTTAGAAATTACTGATAAGCAAAGAAAAAATACCCAATTCCAACCACCCAAAGTTAACCACTGTTTACATTTTATCACATAAAACTTCAGGCTCTTTCCCATGCATATATTTTTACTTTTGAAAAAAACAGGATCACATTGCATGTGCTCTTTTGGAATCTGATTTTCTCTGCATAAGAGGAGAATTAATTTCTTCCTGCTTTAAATTGTTCAAGCACTTTTTTGAGATTATCTGGGACAGTTTAGAATGGCTATTTGGAGTGTGGCTGAAAACTCATCCATGAATGCAAATTTGTTCTCAAGCATTCAAAGTACTGAAAGTTGAAGCTAAGGGAATTTCATCGTAAAGTAATTCAAATATGTCATAAAATTTTTGTAATCCTCACAGCGTGTATCATTTGCTAAAATGAAGTAAAACTGAGCTGTTTAACTGTTCACTTTCTACAAACTCAGGGGGATTATCATCGGATCCAAGCTCGTGTGGACTCCTATAACTCACCTTTTAAGCTAATTTTGTTAACATTCTTAAAAACACCTTGTGATTTAAGGAGACCTTAAAAGGCTATGTACTAGAACTGCCGAGTATGGCTTGAGTCTCTTCCACAACCTCCTATTGAGTGGTTATCCCTCACGTGAACTCAAACGGCTGGAAATTCATTACATTTTTTAAACTTTTTATTGTGAACTAATTTTAGACTTACAAAACAGTTTCAAAAATAGTACAGAGAGTTCTATATCCTTCATCCAGCTTCCACTAATGTTAATATGTTACGTGACAGTAACGTAATTATCAGAAAACTCACAATTAATTTATAGACCTTATTTCAATTTTGCCAGTCATCTTGCTGATGTTGTCTTTTTGGTCCAGAATCTAATCTCAGATCCCATACCGCATCTGTTGCTATGACTACTCAATCTCTTCCAATCTACAGCTTCCAATACAGTTATTCAGTCTTTCCTTGTCTTATACAACTTTGACATGTGTGAACTACTGGACAGTTTGTTTTGTTTCTGGAATGTCCTTCAATTGTGTTATGTTTTCCATTGATTAAGTTGAAGTTACGCATTTTTGGCAAGAATACTACAGAAGTGATGTTTGCTCTTCCCAGTGCATCACCTCAAGAAGTACATGGTGTTGATATGTCTTGTGATGGCAATTTCATATAGGTGATGCATTCCAGATTTCTCCATGTAAAATTACTATTTTCCCTTGGTAATCTATATGTAATTTATTTGTAATTTATAATATCTTATGAGGAGATATTTTGAGACCAGGCAAATATTGTTTCATGTCATACTATTGCCCACTAATTTCAGCATTAATTGATGAATCTTGCCTGCAACAATTATATGAAGGTAATTTTCTATTTCTATCATTCCTTCTATTTTTATTATTGGAATTGTCCTGAAAGAAAAAGCTATCTCTTCTCCTTCATTTGCTTATTTATTTATATCAGTATGGGCTCAAAGATTCTATTTTAATCTGTAGGTTATAAGCCATACTACTATTCTTTACTTTGCTACTCCAGTTGTCCTATATTTGGCCATTGGAAGCTCTTTCAGGTTGGTGCCTTATATCCATCCAGCATGCTATCCTCATCTTTTTAACACTTCCTTATTTTCTAGCAGCACAAGAAATTCCAGCCTCATCTTCTGTTATCCCTGATGCATCCTTAGAATCAAGCATTTTTCCAAGGAGTTCTGGTTCCTTTTATTGGACAATGGTATTTAGAAACCAACATCTGGGTGCTACATATGCTCATTGCTGCTGGGGTGTCTTGCTTCTAGACCCTATCATTGGACAGATCTAGGAAATGGATATATGTATACTCATGTACACATCAATATTTCTGTAACAGTTTTTCTGTATAAATCATTTAAAACCATGCACTTATACTGATACCTCCAAGTACAATCAAATACCATTGATTCATTAATGCCTTTCCTTTTTCTTGTTACTTCTTTTTCTAACAGTGAGAAAACTGACTTTGATTCTCCAGAAACATATTTACTTATTTGCTCAATTGCACACCTATACTCTTGTGGGGAAAGAAAAGTATTGACTAGAATATAATGGTTGTATACACTTCTTTTCATCTTTAATCTTACAGTTTATAGTCAAAATACAATCTTCCCCATTGACTTATGTTATTTTCATTTTCATTCCTTTCATTTTATATTATGAGTTCCTCCCACTTTATTTTTGATTTTGATTATTTATGTTTGAGTATGTGAAACATTACTATGATTCCAAGAATCAGAACTACATAAAATATGTGCTTTCCTCCCTCATTCCTTCTTCTCTATTCCCATTTTCCCATTCTTTCCACCCTGTACCTACCTATCCCCTGTAAGTAATCAATCTCATAGTTTCTGGTTTAACTACCTGTATTTCTTTTTGCACAAATAAGCAGATACATGCATACCTTCTTATATCTCCTTCTTCCTTACATATAACTCTTTTGTACTTTACTTTTTTCACTTAACAATATATCATAGAAGTTACTCCATACCAGTTTATAGAGATTTCACTTTTTATAGCTGCATAATTATCCATAGTGTGGCTATACCACAGTTAATTCAATCGCTCTCTTACATGGGCCTTATGATGTTTCTAATATTTTGCAATTAAAAAATATAGCAGTAAACAACATTATGCACATGTATTTTCATATTTTTGGAGGCGTATCTTCAGAATAAATTCCTAGAATTAGGATTTGGGGGTCAAAAATATAGTTTTGTTAGGAATTGCCAAATTCTCTTCCAGAAGGGTCATACCAGTCTGCATTCCCATCAGAGGCCTCTTTTCCTCACAATCTCGGTAATAATATATTATGCTTTTTAAATTTTTGCCAGTCTGGTATTATATGTAAGTGATGAATCACTAAGTTCTACTCTTGAAATTAATTTTACACTATATGTTAACTAACTAGAATTTAAATAAAAACTGGAAACATTAAAAAAAATTTTAAATTAAAAATAAATAAATTTTTGCCAGTCTGATAGGATACAATCTCAGAGTTGTTTTAAATTATATTTATGTAATTATAAATGAGTTTGAATACTTTTCACACATTTCAGAGCCATTTTGTCTTTTTATATTTTGTAAATTGTCTGTTCTTGTCCTTTCCTTATGTTTCTATCAGGTTTTTGTCCCTTTATCCTTTGATTTTTAAGAGTTCTTTTTTTTAATGTTTATTTTTGAGAGACACAGAGAGAGAGACAGCATGTGAGCAGGGGAGGGACAGAGAGGGAGTGAGATACAGAATCCGAAGCAAGCTCCAGGCTCTGAGCTGTCAGAAAAGAGCCCGAAGCCAGGCTCAAACTCACGAACCGTGAGATCATGGCCTAAGCCAAAGTCAGACACTTGACTGAGCCACCCAGGTGCCCCTAATTGCCTCTGGATTTTTTTGAGTCAGATAAACAATTTAAAATGGAATTCACCTTTGTTTTCTTCTAGTACTTGTACGGTTTCAACTTTTACATTTAGATCTCAGATCCATTTGGAATTTATTTTTGTATTTGGTGTCAAGATATTAATATAATTTTGTTTTTTGTCTTTTTTTTAGATGTTTATTTATTTTGAAAGAGAGAGGGAGCATGAGTACACGAGCTGGGGAGGGGCAGAGAGAGAGAGAGAGAGAGAGAGAGAGAGATTGAGAATCCCAAGTAGGCCCTACCCTGTCAGTGCAGAGCCTGAGGCAGGGCTTGATCCCAGGAACCCTGAGATCATGACCTGAGCTGAAATCAAGAGTTGATGCTTAACCAACTGAGCCACCCAGGGACCCCAATTTTGTCTTTTTTTCTAAATAGTTACCCATCATTTATTTTTCAAAAATATTTATTTATTTTTGAGAGAGAGAATGTAACTGAGTGTGGGAGGGGCAGAGAGAAAGGGGGACAGAGGACCTGAAGCTGGCTCTGTGCTGACAGCAGAGAGCCCCATGGGAGGCTCAACCGTCTAAGCCATCCAGGTGCCCCTTCCCATAATTTGTTAAAAAGCATAATTTGGGGTGCCTGGGTGGCTCAATCAGTTGAGCATCCAATTTCAGCTCAGGTCATGATCTCATAGTTCATGGGTTCAAGCCCAATGGGCTTGTGCTGACAGCTCAGATTGCTTGGCTTGCTTTGGATTCCGTGTCTCCTCCTCTGCCTCTCCCTTGCTCATGTGCTCGCTCTCACTCTCTCTCTCTCTCTCTCTCAAAAATAAATAAATATTTTTTAAAATTAAAGAAAAAAAAAAGACTTGCCTTAAAAAGAAGCATAATTTAAAAGTCCACCATTACCCACAGTGTTTTGAAATATCATCTTTATCTTATACTAT